ACGTAAAGCAATCTCGATCAGGACCAACGTAAGGCTGTGCCGGAGACTGCGTGAGCCCTCTGATCTTCGGAAACCCACCCATGTATGTTTTCATGTAGAGACTAGTTTAGGGCCCTCAGAGAACCAGTACAGGGCCTGCAAACTACAAAGGCCAGTAGTTTGAGACCATCAGAGACCGAGTTGGGCTCTCAGAGGCTAATGTGGGTCCTTACTCATTACAGGCCAGCATGGGCCCTCAGAGGTCAGCGTGGGGCCCTAAAAGACCGGCATGAGCCGTCGTTGGACCCCAGAGGCCAGCAGAGGACCCTCAAAGGCCAAGATGGGCCCTCCTCAGAGGCCAATGCAGACCCTTAGAGGCCGGCATCGGGTCTTCAGCAGCCAGTGCGGGGCCCTTATTGGCACCTAAAGGTTCATCTTGGGACACCAGAGACAGAAATAAGGCCACCAGAGTCCGGTGTGAGACCCTCAGACGCCGGTTGGGACCCCTGAGGCCGGTTAGGGGCCCTCATAGGCCAGATGTGGGGCCTCAGAGGTTGATGTAGGCTCTTAGCGGTCAACGTGGGCGCTTGACCGCCACTGAAATTCCCTCATAGGTCAGTGTAGGACGTTCAAAGACCGGTGTGGGAGCTATATTAATAGCTGGGCGTGGTTTTTTTTAGCCTCGTGACGATCGAATAATTGCCAGGGCCCCATACACCTATATGGGGGCCCATTGGTTGTTTGAGGGGGGGGGGGACAAATGATATGATGGCCCCCTTTATTGACCTTTGGGGGCATGGCCCTGATGCCCCCCCCCCGGCCCCCCGCGACCGCCACTGTGTACACATTACACACATGCCTCTGAGATTACATACTAGCTCATGCAAACTCTCTGCAGGCCCCGGAGGTCCCACGCTAATCCTTAAGAAACCAAGCCGGCATACGGCGTCACCACCGGGCTTCTGAGGTGCACAGCACCAACCCATGAGGTCTTACTTTAGTGTCTTGGAGCCAATCTCCTTTAGCAGGGCCCACCCGCCACTGCCGAAGAGGGTCTCATGCCAGCCATTGCTGAATGCTGGGCCTACGAGAGCCTCAAGTAAACCCACGCTGATATTCCATATAAGATCCGGCCATACTCGTGAACCGGTGCCAGCGACGCTGACCGCCAAATTGACAGAATGCGAAACTGAGCCCACTCATGAGTGAAATTTACGTCCTTTGATGGCGCAAGAAAGAATATGAAACATACGAAAAGCTTTTCTAGGACTTTTGTTCGATCTGAAAGGTGGGGCCAAAAGATAGTATGGCCCCACCTTTCAGCACCGAAGGGGGGCCATGGCCCCCGTGGCCCCCCCCTGCGACCGCCAGTGCTATTACTAGAAAAGTTGTGAACCGATTTTCTTACTTCTTGCACGAGAAGATCAGCAGTTCAATTCTGGACAGGTAGCCGAAATTTCACATTGATATTATGCTTGCGGCGCGAGTTATTGGCGAAAAACAGGAGGGGTGGGCGAAATCCGCCCCCCCCCCCCCCCCTTCCACTGCGCGTGTTAATAGTGAAATATCGAATGTGTGTCAATGCTTCAGATTTGTCCCTAAACACTATTCGTTAGAATTGTGTTTTTCTATGGGAATTCAATCAGATTTGGGGTATTTTGCATTCTTGCCTGAGATTGGGGCAACTTGGGTGGGGTCTACATGCGCTACTCTTATTAATTGAAGTGCCTTTGCTATGTGAATGATGTAGCCAAGATATTGAGCAGTGATTTATCAACTGTTATAATTCTACTATTAGCCGCTCTCTTATGTTCAGATGCTATTTTCAACTGAAATAAATATTTTAGAAAAGGTGCGTACGCATGCACATTAGGTATTTCGTTTCTAAAATGGGAAAGGACATAGGATAATTAAACAGCTCTGTCTCCGGGCGAGGGGCAGATTCTGCGACGATTGTCGTAAAAAGACGGAGAAAATGGCAATCGAAAGCTCCCAACAAGACGGACCCTTGAAACATTTTTTAAGTACGTCAAAAGTCAGGTCAAGGCCAGGTCAAGGGTAAAAAAATGCAAAAGCCAGGTGAAAGGCAGGTCAATAGTTAAAAAATACAAGTTTCTACATTATCAGCTTTGGAGCGCAGGTTGCGAAGAATTTGGACTGAAATTGATTGCCCAAAACGCGTTCTTCTGCTACCAAGACATGATGCATTGCACACATGTCACAGAATCATGCAAAGATCAAGATCAATGTCAGGTCAGGTTACCAAAGACGAGCTATAGAATAGGATACCTATGTGCGACAGTCCACACATGCTTTAGCCCTCGCCGGCTGAGGGTGCGGGGGTGGTAGCCGTAGGTATACTTCTCGTTAGGTACTTCTCGAGAATTGCCTGAGCGAATCAAACACGATGATGCCAAAATCGAGGAGCTGCGACCGCTTTAATCGCACTAGCACGCCTCTATTAGAGGTTATAAATGAAAACTGTTAGATACCATTCAATATCTCAGATGACCTCGGGGATGTAACAAAGGGTAACGGGTGGCATTTTCCGGTTCAGTGTGTCATATTGACTTGTAATTCGGTGTTTGAAAGTGTTTAGAACGACGTTCGTCCAAAAAGGGCGCTTTTCAATTTCTCCCTGACTTATAACGGAGCAGTCGCAAAAAATGACCTGACCTTAGGTCACCCATATCGAAATTCCGAGATATACATTGTGTACATATTGTTGCTCTCATTCATTGCTCAAACTTTCAAAGCGATCGGTCACTCGTAGCTAAGGCTGGCATTGAAACTTTTTAGGAGGTGAGGTCACTTGACGTGACCTGGTGACCTGACCTTGAGTGACCTTGGTCTTAAATTTTCACAGCATGTGCGGAAAAGATGTATGATGAGGTGTGCGCCACCGGTTTTGAGATATTCGCGAAAAACCGCATGGGAATGTCCAAACACCCCAGTAGGGCGCGGGATAGGTATAGCCTGGTCTCTCGCATTTATACCCACGGGTGTCTACTTCTACTGCCAACTAGGGACAGCCGTGGTAACCTACTTTCGCTGGTGCTGGGCGGCGCAGTCCAACAGGCGCCTACTCCTACTGCCATCTAGCGACAGCTGTAGCAAACACATTCCGCTAGTGCTCGGCGGCACAGTCTACCAGCAGGCGTCAGCTTTTACTGCCATCTAGCGACAGCCGTGGTAAGCAGCTTTCACTGGTGCTCGGCGGCACAGTCCACCCACAGGCGCCAACTTCTACTGCCATCCAGCGGCAGTCGTAGTAAATAAATCCTACCGGAGCTGCATTAACCCTCGCCCGCACATGCCATTTTCCCATCCTAGAACGCACATGGGGGGGGGGGGGTGGTTGCCACCCCCCGCGCCATTTCGTTCCTGTTGGAGATAGAGCTTAGCGGTAAAGACCAAAAAGATTCTTTGGGAAGAGACGAATCCAATGGTACCCAGTTTTACCTTCTCAGGTCAGTCATTGACCCTCCAGGTCAGGTCAAACTAAAAAATAGGTATTGCTGTTTTGGGTCACCGTTGGATATCAATTGCGCTGCTTATCATATACCGATAACGATGCCGTTTTCTGGTGCCAAGCCAGCTAGAGCCTCTTTGTCACACTACCCGACCAGGTTTTTGCTGCTGAGGTCATTTCAGGTCAAGTTAGGTCAAGGTCAATGATATGTGTTTGTATGTCTGTGTGTGTGTGTGTGTATACTGATGTGTGCAGCGGTTGTTTATGTGTCCATATTACATGAAATCATGATCTGAGAAGCTTTTACCAAAAATGCAGTCAAAAAACTTAACAAAAAGTAAATTCAGCTTGCCTAAAACACAATTATCTTAGATGACCTAGGTTGACCTTGACCCTGACCTTGACATCTGTACATCGTCGAACAACATGTTCCATGATAGGTGGGAGGTAAGACTGGCAAAAAAGGCCGAAATCAGGGTGTCAAAAGCTCACAAGGCCCATAGCCAACGCAAAATGTTGAGAATTGGCCATTTGGGTCATGACATGACCTGCAAAAACAAGGTCATATCTCCGAAACCAAAAACCACAGAAACTTGAAATTTTCAGTGGACATCAAGAAAGGATAGAGGAGCAGCTATACGAAAAATCAGCGTCCTAGCTCTAAAAATGTTGAGTGCAGAGCAGAAAGACTACCTGGGGGGGGGGTGGCAACCCCCCCCCCCATGTGCGGGCGAGGGTTAAAATCCATTGGAGCACAGACATCTGGCACTTTTTCATTCATACACCTGACAACTCTTTTACACTCGCCTAGTAACAAAATTTCCCGTTGGTCTACTAACTACTTACCTGGTAAATTCGGTGTTTCTGGTGCTATAGGTAGATGCCCATCGCACTGAAGGACTTGAACCAACCAGCCACAGTCACCCCCACTCCCCTCTCGGGACGGCTGCGACGTAAGAAAAAGGACAGGAATCGGGTCTCGGACTGACAGACAATGTTGGGCAAGGATTAGTCTCCCGACTAGGTTGCTGTGGTTTAACTATGCACCATCAACCACAGCCAGCAAAATTGGCCTGGGCCGTATATGGTTTTCCTCCGGCTAGCTCCGGCAACTACTCCGGCCGAAGTACGGGCAAGGACTGGGCTCTGGAGCTCTACTGGAGCTGGCACACGATCCCGGAGCTCGTCCGCACCACAGCCGGACTTGAACCGATCGGCCGTGCCATACCTCAACCGCACTTCAGCCACAGTAAGCCAGAGCAGCTACGAGGCAGCCGGACCTGGCCGTAACATGCCGTGGCAGAGCCGGTCTTGAGCCCCACTTGGCGGTCCGAAACCGGAAACCATACCAACTCCGGAGCGCTGCGGAAATGACTGGCTAACCGGAATAGAGTCTTATCGACCCAAACCCCATGTTCCGACGGCGTTCAGTTTACACTCGCCCAAATCTGGCATGTCGGAGTTGCCGTGGCAAAACGTACTAGACTAGAGCCAAACCAAATTGCTGGTTGGGTAAATAATCCACTGTTAAGGTTCAGAAAAACAGAAAAAAAAACTTAAGTTTTATTCACCTCCTTAGATCGCCACCAAACCTTGCACAAAAATAATAACTGAAATACGCATTTTGAAGCAGCGGAAAGCACTTGAGCCATTGATATATGAAACCTAAGTCAAATACGCGCGATGTCAACTGTTGCGAAAGTTGGCTCAACTTTTTGCTATGCAGACTAGAGAGTAATAATCTAGTGTCGACTACCATCTATCCGATAACATCCTACTGATAAAAAACCAGCGAGTTAGCCTCCACGCAGACGGTGAAACAGGAACGTACAATGCTCACGCATTAAAGAACCCCATGTGCATATATCAAGGACGACAAAAATAAATTATTCTGCAATAATTAACTTTGGTGCTATCACTCTCACCCAGCTCAAGAAAAGCAGCAAACTTCGCAATGCTTGATACACAGTACACACCAAACACATCCCCTCCGCAGTATGGTCGACAGCTTCCTCAGCTCTTAGGCGGCACCAAACGGTACACGGGAACCCGGCCACACCGCTACTGACGGATCCAAACCCGGCTCCACCTCACCCACCGGACCCCTCCCCCCCATCCCCCCGCACCCCGGTCCGGGCGCGCCCGTAACGCCCCTCGACCCGTCACAGTCGACTCGGTCACACCAGACTTCATCTGTCTGTCAGCTGTCCTTCCTCAGGCTGTCTGCGTCCTCCCGCGATACAGCACCCAACCCGGTCCGATCAGCCCACCAGTCCTCCATGTGGTCCCGACTCCGGGCGCTCAGTTCGCGGCCTCCACGCGCGCCACACGCTCCTCCAGCTGCAGCAAACTCTCGCCGAGTGTGGCCACCGCCTGTGCGTAGGCGTGAGCCAGCCGCTGGCCGGCCGCCTGCAGTTCGGTGAGCCGCTGCGCCTGCGACAGGTGGCGCTCGCTGACCGCCTCCAGACGGCCGCGCAGCTCCCCAGCGCCTGCACAAAGCGCAACGGTCAACTCACAAGCAGGTCAAATATACATACACGTTACACAGGCATTTATGAAACATAATCTAGTGTTATTCACGGTGTACGCTTCTATGGCCTTCATATATGTGCTTCTTAGATCACAAAAGAGACCCTAGCGTGCCCCTGGGACCGGTAGCCGCGTACCTTTGATGTGTTCGCTGTCGAGCAGCGGTGCCAGCTGGCGGACTTTGTCCAGCTGCTGGGAAACCTGGGCCAGCTGCCCCTCGGTGGCCAGCAGCTCGGAGGCCAGCGCGGCGGGAGTGGCGGTCAGCTGCTCACCGTACAGCGGGTCCAGGTACGACTCCAGCTCCTCCACTGAACAGAGAGCGGCGGTGAGACACGGGCACACCACACAGCAGTGTGGAGTGAGTAGGTGTCACCAGCCACCACATATGGCATTCAAAGTGCGTCCAACAGTGACTTACTCCAGACACTTGAGAAGTTCCGAGCCAATCGCGGGATTAGCAAATGCATGAATATGAGCATGTACTCCCTCTGTTTAGTGATATTGGAAAGCTGACATCAACTACAGGATGAGTGACGACACTGTCTCACGCGTTGCATCACAGCAATATAGCTCTCATTATGTCAGAGCACTGCAGCTCTAATTCGTTACACCACTGTTACACCATGACACTTACGTCTCTTCATTATCATCACGGCGCGTTCGTAGTCTCCGAGAACGTTGCCCATCCGACTATTGAAGCCCAGGATAACATCGGTCGCCTTAAAAAAAGAGAGAATCACTCAAATGTGATGATACTTGAATGCTTCTGAGATAAAATGATTGGCGATTGCAATGATACTTTCTGAGATAAGGGACAACGAGCAATGCAACCGATAAAAACAATGCCCGTCACCTGATGAACTTCACCAGCTTCATGCTTTAGAAGATGTCTGCAACAATGTCGCATCTGGATTCTGGGGTACTGATATTGCAGTGGAAAAATTCATTGATGGGATTCTTAGAAATGAGAACCGGGTGATGCACCAGATTCAATTACAAGTCACTTGCAGAGCATAACAAACCAATGATGGCATGGCATTACTTTGAGGCTAGAGGCAGATTCATGTTACAATTTCACTTACCTTCGTATATTGCTCATTTTTATCTAGATCTCCAAAGATCTTGTCCTCAAGTGCAGAAACACGACCCTCCAAATTTTCCTCGCCCATCTTGAAGTTGGATGAAGCTTTCAGCTTGAAGCCTGAAATAACAAAAGCTGTTAAGTTCAAGTGTTTGAGGGCCCGCCAGCCTATAATCAGTGCCGTTTGCCAGCCTATAATCAGTGCCGTTTGCCAGCCTATAATCAGTGCCGTTTCAGTCCGGCGAAACAAAACTGGTAAAAAACTGCTTATCTTATTTTAGACAGAATATTGGGAGTTTTTATGCTTTTATGCAGGTTCAAAAGATGTCGGCGAATGATATCACCGCGAATCAACATGCAGCGAAACCAATATTTGGCATGTAGATTGTAGGTATCTTGTTCACAAGCGTTAGGTATAGAAACAACACCCGCAAGTATTTACATGCAGCATCGTGCGGGTCACGGCGCGCATCGCCTCGTCGGCGGGCCCCAGCAGACGGCAAGCCCGCCGGGTCCGGTGTGGTCCTAGCGGCTAGATGGTTTATGAGCCGGGCTGCACTGCATGCAAAACTTCAATGTTCCTCTTCAGACACCTCAGAGGACAACCTGCCTCTCAAACATAAATTGCATGCTACATTACAGGGCATGCACTAAGCCTAGCACACTTCAAAGACAGTTCAAGAGACAGACCCACTGAAAGGCAGCCTGTCGCCTCACTTGGGTACCGGTCCACTCCAGACACAGCTTCAGCGGTTAGGGGCCCCATGGTCAACCAGTTCAGTTTAAACCTTAGTTACAATCATCCCAACTCTGAGGGCTGTCACAAATGTCAAACCACAGGGCTTGGATGAACATTTTGTGCTCGTCGACCCTGAATTATGATTTAAATGTAGTGTAGGTAGCAAGCATAGTTAGCTAGGGGTGAGGTCTTCTGAAATTCCCTAAACGGTTTATTTGCACCAAAATTTATTTTGGCAGTGCACAGAGCTATGCTGGACGCTGTGCCAGACTTTTGGCTTTATCTGCACATTGTGCCGGACACATTGAATGCTGAATGTTGATGGTAGGTAACATGGATTTTTCCAGTCTGGTGAATGGCCCAGCCTGAGCCAGCCTGTAATGCTATTGAGTAGCTTATATCTCTATCGAG